GGCTGATTAGACATGCCTTGGGGAACATGTATAAGTTGTAAGTGTATAACTTTTAGTTTCTGTTGAATTATTGACTTAGAGTTACTAAGGAATTGCCTAATCAGAGGATATGAATCTTTTTGTGATGTTTGCCATGTACTATAATATTGCTTCTGAAAATATTATGCGACATTGCCTCTAGCAGTGAATGAATAAATCAGTTTCATAGCAGCCTTCCGAACAGCTGATAATACCATTTAAAAACAAATTTGTTTCTTTATTAGGCATTAAATGGTATGTCAATGGTAGGTCAAGATAGCTCTGCATTTTAAGAATTCCTAGTAAGAGTGAATATTTTATATTTCTCCTCCTATAAATTTTATATTTATGTCATTTACACACTTATCTATAGCTAAAGGTTTATTGATATGTACATCTCCGTGGTATGTTTGCCATTGAATTGGAAACTAATCAAATGGGAACAAACAAATCCAGGCTGTAGAATGTTCCATAAGACAACATCCTATATTTTCCATAACTTTGTCATAAGAAGGAAATAAGTCAAGAAAATTGTTCTAGATAGGAGATTAAAGAGACATGGCAAGCAGATAGCTTCCTTGAGCTCTGACTAGCTCCTAGATTAAACATTTAAAAACAACAGCAATAAAGGACATTTAGGGACAATCGGGTTTTCCATGTGGCGCTAGTGGTAAAGAACACACCTGCCAATGCAGGAGATATAATCGATCCCTGGGTCTGGAAGATCCCCTGGAGGATGGCATAGCAACCCACTCCAGTATTCTTGCCTGGAGAGTCCCATGGCCAGAGGAGCCTGGCAGGCTACGGTCCAGAGGGTTGCAAAGAGTTGGACACAACTGAAGTGACTTAGCATACACATACATACAGGGGACAATCAGGGAGATTTAAATATGAACTGTCTATTGGATAGTTATATCAATGTTAAATTTCTTGACTTTGATATTGTGATTATGTCAGAGAATGTTTTTATTCTTAGGAGATAAACCCTGAAGTACTTAGGGGTGAAGTGTTGCTTCAAATGGTTCAGCAAAACTATATATCATACATTCATCTTATATAATAATATATTGCTACTAATATAATTATAATCATGTCATAATATAATTATGTTAATGACCCTAACATATCATGCTGTATTATATATGAATATATAACAAATTATGCATGATATTTTATTTATATTGCTATTATATTATACCCACAAATGTATATATATACTTACATTTATAAATTTATTCTTTCACTCTCACACCATGTACTCTCTCTTACCCACACAGGTGCCTGTGCTCCTGCATGCATATGCCATGCATTACCCCCTACCCCATGGAAGCTGCATTTTAATAGAGACCCTTCACATCAGGGGAAATGCTGAAGGTGATCCATTTCTAGCAGTTTCTCTAGGCTCAACAAGGAGATTCTATGGGACTGAGGAGCCTTGTGGCTCCCCTGTCCAGAGGTGTGTGGAAGGCAGGTGTTATCATCAGCCAGGAGTCCCATCCCCTTTCTCCTGCAACCTCGTGTGCAAACCTCCTTGGAACACGAACTTTATTTACCTGTTCCTTCTGTTGCCTTTAGTCTCCCCACGTACTGAACAGAGAAGCTGACTTTTAACAGGCCATGCACAATGTGCTCTGGGGCAGGAGAACAGAACGTTTTGGAGAAGTTAGATCAGACGGACCCCGCCTTAGCATGGGGTTATCCTCGGCTCTCTTTCTAACCTGCACCCAAGACCCTTCCATCCCCCCTCCCCCCCCACCTCCCACCCCCTTCAAATTTTAATCAGCTTTTCTCACAGCATCAGTGCACCCCACAAACAGGTTTTCAAAAGTAAGTGGGGTTTGGCAGAAACCAATGCAATTCTGTAAAGCAATTATTCTTCAATTAAAGAATAAGTAAATTTTGAAAAAGCAAGTAGAGTTAAGTTAACTGGCTGCTGCATTTATCTATTAAATCAGTTAAACACAGTTTAGAACGTCCAGTTTGGTTGCTGTGGTCATTTATATAAAAAGTTGAGAAATAAGGCCCTCGGGGACCCCTATGACCCCCCCATATGGCAGCACTTCCTTGAGAAAACTAGAGTAAACGCCTCACCATTTTGACTGAAAACACAATTTCCAGAGTCAAGACGACTAGAAAATCTGAGAAATTTGTAAATCAAATTGCATCTTAAACACGTTAGAGCTTACTGTTGATATATATTCCATGGTAAAGCCTTCTGTGAAAGAATTTGAAGGATGCTTTTGTACAAAGAGAATTCCCATCCCCTGGCCTGAGCTACCCAAGGTTGAGTTTGGGGGGTTTGGATTTTTTGTCGATCAGGTTTGTAGCAACTAAGGGCTATTGAAAAGATTTGTTTTTTAAAATACCACGTTTTTCCAGCTTATACAAATAGAACTTCCTAAATATACTGAAAAGTATGAAGCAGAAATGAAAGTCACCTCTCATTTCACACCTGAGTGATGATTGTCATATTTATGCATGTGTGTGCATATGTAGACATCTCTAGTTAGAAGCAAAACCTTTCCTTGCAAATTTGCTCAGCTGGGTCTTACCGCCTAGGTTGTAGAAAGTAGGAGGTGGTGTGGACTTTCTATACCCAGAAGGTAATCACTGTCAGAGACTTTGTGAAACAATAGGCACCAGGTAAAAAGGAAACCCCTGCAGGCTGGGGGGTATGAAGCAGGAGGTCCACAGGCAGACCCCCTTCCGGGTCACCAAGGGGCAATCCTGAGAATACAGCCTGGGAGGCCTGTGGGCAGCCTCCAGTCAGCAGTTCTGCACATTTGCCTGGAGGCTGCTTCCCTCTAAAAGCGCACACTGGACATTTGCTCCCCATTGTTCTTTTCCTCCTTCAGTTTGATGTTCTGTCCACCCCTACCCTCTCTGGGCTGACAAGATGCTCTTGGATTAAACAGATGTTTGACTGACACATGTGACCACCACAGAGAAACTTGTGTTCAGAGAGGTCCCTGAGGAGCAGAGCTTATTCCCCTCAGGACTAACACTGTTAGGCTGGGGTGATGGGCGCTGGCTGGTGCAAGGGGGCTGTCGAGGGGATGGAGCCTTCCCAGTGTATTTTTACCCACCTTTCAGGGCTGCTTGAGAGTGTCAAGAGCCTGGCAGGAGACCATAGCCTGCCTTCTCTGTGCTAGGGGAAGCCTCAGGCAGCCCAGCTCTTCCCTAAAGAGAGCCACCAGGTGAGAGCTTTGGAGACTTGCCGTGGGGAGAGTGGGCTGTCTCTCAGAGCAGCAGGTGGCCAGTGGACCCGGGACCTCTCTCTCCCTCTCTGCTATAGAATCTGGGTTCCACCACTGTGTGTGTGTTAGTCACTCAGTCGTGTCCGACTCTTTGCCACCCCACGAACTGTAGCCTGCCAGGCTTCTCTGTCCATGGAATTCTCCAGGCAAGAACACTAGAGCGGGTTGCCATTGCCCTCTCTAGGGCTCTACCACTAGATAGCTGTATTAACAGAAAAGGTTACTTGAGCTCTTCATTCTTCAGTTTGCAAATCCAAGACATGGGGGTAACAGCGGTACCCCTCAGTTGGGGTTGTAATGCTTCAGTGAGTTATCGCACATAGTGCATTTAGCATGGCACCCACCAGAGTGCACAGATAGCTAAGGTGGCTCAGATGGTAAAGAATCTGCCTGCAATGTGCGAAACCCAGCTTTGATCCCCGGGTCAGGAAGATCCCCTGGAGAAGGAAATAGCAACCTTCTCCGGTATTCTTGCATGGAGAATCCCATGGACAGAGGAGCCTGGTGGGCTACAGTCCGTGGGGTCACAAAGAGTTGGACACAACTGAGTGACTAACACTTACCAGAGTGTAAGCCCTTGACAGACGTTAGCTAGCATTGTCACTGTGTTAGTCTGCTCAGGCTTTAACAAAATACCATAGAATACAGGCTTAGGCAGCAGAAAGTTACTTTTCACAGTTCTGGAGGCTGAAAGTTTGAAATCAAGATCTTTGTGTTCTGGTGAGGACTCTCTGCTTGGCTGGTTTACAACTGCCTTCTCATTGTATCCTGTCATGGCAGAGAGCAGGCCGGCTCAGGTCTTTTCCTCTTCTTTTAAGAGCACTAATCCCATTATGAGGGCACATCCGCATGCCTGTATTTAATCGTTGTTACCTCCTAAAGGCCCCCCAACTATCACACTGGGGATTAGGGCATTAATGTATGTATTGGGGTGTGTGGTGGCACATTCAGTACTTAATGGTCATTATTATTTTTACTGTCCCTTTGCAGGGTGTTCTTAGGTTTGGGGCAGGCTTTGAAAGGGAGGGAAGGAAGAAGTGGGGAAGATCTTTCTGTCTCCAGTAGGTCTTAAAGCCCATGGTGGTGGGTCTTGAACCTTCTGGAAACTGTCTGCTTTCACAGTGTTCTAGTTCCCTCTCCTTTTAACCTTTAGGGAAAGGCTCTTTTTTGCTTTACTCTAGAGAAGAGGGAAGAGGAAGAAAAGTCAGGTTTATTAGGCAGCTACTTCTCTGAGCTTGGCATCTGGGTGGGAAGGGAAGTCACACCAATGACTCCAAGCCACACCCCTTAGGGCCGTCACCATCATCCCCACGGCCAGAGGACAGTGCCTGCAGGGGCTCCAGACGAGGAACACACGCAGTCCTCGGTCACTCCTCAGAAGTTTCCGAAAGGGTTGAACCTGGGCCCCTGAGCCCGCACCCTTGCAACATGTAGCTGGTGTGGGGAGGAGTGAAGCGGCCACACCTGGAGCAGGAGTAGGGTTGGGATGGGTGCCGAGTGCAGCTGTTGTGGGAAAGTGCACAGGCCTGGCCTTGCAATCACATGGCGCGTACTGGCTGGAGCTAAGTAGTGAGGCTCCTTAGACCCCTGAATCTCTCCACCAGCGGAGGCTGCCTCCCCTCAACCTCCAGATCTCCCAGGCTGGAGTAGCTCTCCCACAGAAGGTTATTTTCAAGGGCTGCTAACCCAGACTGTATTTTCTTCTGTGCTCTTGTCCCTCCTCAGCCCCTAAAGACAATGAAGAACGTGTGTTTCGGGAGCGCATGCGGCCCAGGAAGCGGCAGGGGGCTGTCAGGCGCAGGGTCCACCAGGTCAACGGCCACAAGTTCATGGCTACCTACCTTCGGCAGCCCACCTACTGTTCCCACTGCCGAGATTTTATCTGGTAAGGTCCTCTTTTCTGGAAACCTCTCAGTTAGACTTCTCTGCAGCAAGAGGTGGGGGGAATGGGTCAGGAGACTGGACACTTTATGTAAAAAATGCTAATGTGCTTTAATTCTTTATTTGACTACAGAAGACTTTTCTGCAAGGCTGAGTGGTGCCTGGGGGGTAGATGGGAAGAAGAAACTATGAATCCTGGTTCCTACATATGGAGATATGTAGGATCATATCATATCTCATATTTAAGGAGTTAAGATTTTATAACCAGTAATGGTATTGTGGGTTTTTTTTTTTTTTAAAGAACTCTTAACTTTTAGAGAGGGACTCTGAATTATTTACCAACAGAATGATGGATTTCTTAGATTTGTTTTAAAAAAATAACTGGAAGGAGGGGTGAGGGTCTAGGGTAGAGATGAAACAAGGCTGGCCATGAATTTATCATTGTTGGAGGTACTCACAGGTACCTGAGGGTCTACTATATTCATCTCTCTGAAAGCTTAAAAATATTCCATTGCCAGTATTTATAATACAAAACAATTCTTAGTAACTGTCACAACACTGGTGCTGAAAGGATGCTGAGATTTCAGAAAAGAGAGAGAAGCATTGGCTGGAGTACTCAGGGAAGGCTTCCTGGAGGAGGTGGCAATTCTCTTTTTATGATGACTAGGCTTTTGATAGGCAGAAACAGGTAAGTAGTATGCCTTTTTGGCAGGTGGAGAAGGACAAGGAATATTGGCCTTGGGGATTAGAGAGGAACTTTTGATGAGTATACCTACCTTGTGTCAGGGTCTCTCTTTGGCTCTGGAAATCTCTAAATCTTCCCAGCATCCTATGAGCTATGTATTATGTATGTACCATTCCACTAACAACAATACTGAGGCTCAGAAATGAGACCAGCTTACAGCCCTCCAGCTAGGATGTGTCAGATACCTGATTCCACCCTGGTGAGCACAACTAATAGCTCATGCTCAGCCTTCCTAGCTACCTCTCTTAGGTCTCTGGAACTGATGTGGAGTTCACATGCTGGCAATCCCATGGAGGAGAGTGAGCAAGGCCATACTGCAGCATGAATGCAGAAGGGGAACATTCAAATTGCACTCTGAGGACACCCTGGATTCCCATGGTGTCCAGGAACACCTCTTCTCATCCTTGTGGTGTTCTGGAACTAGTCACAGAGGTTGGCATGGACATCCAAGGTGACACAGCTTAGAGCAAAGTCAACCTGATTAAAGCAGAAATAATGCCCAGCTCCATCCACGGACACGTCTCATTCCTGGGACTGACAGCCATCTGACCTGTACCTCTGTATTTTGGTCAAGAATTGGGGAACAGGTTCTGAAAGCTTAGCCTTAGAGATTCTGGTCTCCTCTGAGCCCATGGCCAGTACCACTGACCTCTAGGTTCCCTTAGCTGTAGCCCCAGTGACTTCTGGCTCCTCTCACTGGACTGGGCACTGCAGGGAGCTGACCAGTTGGTGGTGGTGTCCTGAGAACAGGGCTCAGGCCAGGTTGGATTGTCCTGTGTCCAGGCTGACGCTAAACCTGCCCTAGGGGACCCTATGCTGGCCGTGGAAGGAATCTGTGATGTTGGCCTTTACCCAAATGGTATATTGCACTCCCAGTCCTGGCCACACTCTGCCCCATAAACCTTGACTACTCCTGGAATGCTCAGGGAATATGCTTGCCAGCGAGAACCGTTCTCCACAACTATCTGCGAAGAAAGGCATGCTTAATGACTTGAGGCCCATGGAGAGCAAGCAGGGTCTCTGGGGCTTTCCAGAACACAGCTGGGCCCCTGGAGTGGCTGTTTGTATAGGAGACCGAGCCCTAATACTGACCAAACCTTGCACCCATTCCAAGCCCTGGGGCTGTCCTTGATGGCCATCAGAAGGAGTCATTTTAAGGCACCCTTCAAGTGGGAGCGAGATACTAGCCCTCTGCTGAGTGGACTCCACTCAGCATTTGTGGGCTGTGGCCAGAATAGGGTGGCTTTGTGTTCCTTTTGACCTACTGGAATTCATTTTCTTAAAGAGCTGTTTTCTTCTTTTCAGGGGTGTCATAGGAAAGCAGGGATACCAGTGTCAAGGTAAGAGGGTGTTATATGAAGTAAATCCCTGGGAACCACAGGTCAATTCAGGTCACGACTGCCTGTGGAAACGGGGGCTGGGTGGGATGAGACCCAGAGCTAGGTAGGCCCTGCATGGTCACGCTCTTTCTCTGCAAAGCGAGGCCCTGATTTTCTTTTGTCCCTGCCTGGCCATCGCTCCACCATAGCTGTGTGGGAGTGGATGTATAGGAGCGCCTGTGGGGACCACCATCTGCAGGTGACCAGGGGGCTCAGCCTTTTGGTGCAGTGTTTCCGGTGCACCTCCTTCTTTCCCGTGAAATGGAGAGCTTCAGGAAGATGCCCTTTGGTGGCCCTTGTGTGCTGAACCGGGTTCTGTATGCTGTGTTAGCTCCCCATTCTCCCACTCCCTGAAGAAGCTTCCTCCCCCGCTTGTTTTATTCTGTCTCACTCATGGTCCTTGCTGCTTCGCTCTCTCTCCCTCTCTTTTTTTTTTTTTTTTGTCTCTTCTATACCATCATTAGCTCTTAAACATTTAACAGTTGCCTGAAAGTATGAGAGGGTTTGTTTCTTCCCCAGTTAATTGACTACAAATGCAAGGTTAAGTTATCTAGAACTGGAGGGTGGTATGTGATGAGGTCATGCTGAGACCTTCCAACCACTTCTCTGTGGTTGGAACTGGGAGCCCAGCCACTGGTTGACTTGAGTCTCACCCCTGGGGGACTGGGGTAGCTTCTGTGGGATGTGGCTGTGTCCTGGGGGTAACGTGTGCACAGTTACACATGTGACAGTTCTTAGATTCCTTGTATCACCTACTGCCCACACTGGCCCATGACACTACAGACAGAGCGTCAGCGATTTCTTGGGGAAGTATTACATAAAATGAAAAATTTTAAATTTGGTACAAAAGGTATATCCAGATCAAGGAGCTAGAGAACTTCTATGTCACAGAATACCCACTCACTTGCTGCTGGCCTCCCTACCACCCCAGCCAGCCCTGGTGGGACCTTGAATGGAACACAGGGGTGCATTCCAGCTGGGCGATTGTTTCCTGATGCTGGCATGGAGAAGCAAGAAAATTGATTGGTACTCCTGGAACTGGAGAAAACTGCTGATGCCCTTTGGATATAAATGGTCCATTCTTCTCCAGAGCATTTAGGAGAGCCTAATGGCTCTGATGGCAGAGTGCTTTGAAGTGATTGCATAAAGGGCTTCAGGTAGGGCATTACAATAAGACTCTGCGTTGGAGACAGAAGGGGCAGGGCTCCCCTCGCTTCTCCACAGAGACTTCATTGAATCCTGGGATGGAACCTTTCTTCCCCTGCTTGTCGCTCAGCTCTCTCATGTTTTGCTCTTTGCAGTCTGCACTTGCGTGGTCCACAAGCGATGCCATGAGCTCATAATTACGAAGTGTGCTGGATTAAAGAAACAGGAAACTCCCGACGAGGTAAATATTTATAACATTGAAATTCTGGGCTTTCTTCCCTGCCATCCCCACCCTCCACTGCCTCCTCTGTGGTCCCCAGGAAAAACCTTATCTCTCTGAGGTCCTGTCGCTTTCTTCATTGTGTTGATCAAAAACGAAGGGAGTTGTCCACAGCCTTCCGGCATGAGGTACAATCTACAGAATGAGTGCAGCTCAAAGTCGGGCTTGTGTGTGTGGATATGATGCCAAGGGTTGTATGGTCCCCAAAAGAAAGCCCAGGGGAAAATTTGAGTTATTTTATGTCATTATCTCATTGAAACAGTGAAGGGACTCACTGACATGTCAAGGGCTCCACACAGCTCATAAACAGTGAGAGACAGAACACACAGCAGGAATCTTATCTTTATGAGGTGATGGAGGAATGGAGTGGGATTAACGAATCTAAGAAACACTTAAGAGGCTGGAAGAACCACAGTAATAACAATAGCTGACATTCATTGGGTACTCACTGTGCCCTGATTTAAGCACTTTATCGTATATTATTTAAAGCCATAACAGCCTTAATGAGATCTATCTTCATTTTCCAACAGAAAGAATAGAAGCGTAGAGAGGTCAAATTAACTTGCCTTAAACCTCACATCCCAGTATGTGAAAAAGCCAGCCAGTCTGTTCCAGAGTCTGAGTCCTTGACGACGGTACTGTGTTCCCTTCATCTTAGAAACTAGTGTCAGATTGACTGTTAGAAAAGTTGTTAGGGGTAAAGAAGTAAGAAAATTTGACTTGAAGCCAGGTTTCTCTTAACTGAGTAAGTGAGAGAAGAGTGGATCCACTAACAGAGGTAAAAAAAAAAACCTCCTAGAGAAAATGACACGTGTGAATGTGAGTAGAGGAGTTATCTGTGTTCACGACAGTTGATTTCAAAGACATACTTTTAATTCTTGGTGAAATAAATAAATATCATATAATCATAGGCCATTAGTGTGAGAGAGACCCTGGGTGGGATTACAGTCAGATAGGTTTATAACTAGGCTTCCAAAATGAGTCCCTTCTATTTTTAAGAAGCAGGGTCTTCTGCTTCTTAAAAACAGTTCAACAAAGTGACACCTTGACACCCAAAATATTTTCCATCTTTATGGAAAGCATTTCCATCTCCTTTTGATTTCACACCATCTCTGGAAAGCAGGAAGGGACGAGGCTTAGACTGAGCATCCCATGTCCCTGGAAAGCAGACAGCCCAAAGCACCAAAGTCGTTTACTGAGGTCCTACTGTCACGGTAGGAAATTGCAAGTCACTGTCGCCTGGCTCTCTTGACTCCTGTTCTAGAATTGTAACCATAAGTATGCTGCTACTCTCATTAGTTTTTTAAATGAGTGAAAGAAAAAGATAATTTCCTTGCTGTGTGTCTTTCTTCTTAGGGACATTTTATTTAGCATTTATTGAGCACTTCCTGTATGCCAGATGATTGCTCCATGACCCACAGAAACAAAGAGGAATACATGATTCCTGCTCTTAAGGAGATCATAACTCTCAATAAGTTTTTAAAAAATGATCTCATAAGTTTTATCAATTGTGAACCTCTGCAGATGTCTAAACGATTTTCACACCTCCTTGGAAGGAGACCCTATGACTTCATGCCATGCAGGCTAGAGGGTTGAGATTTGAAATGCACAGAACCCAGCTTTAATCTGTGACCTAGTTTCTCTGATTGTATTTTCTGGCATACTGAACACTGAAAAGAAGTTACCAATGAGGCGTGTTCCCAAAGTTGGTACATGTCTCAAGGGAGATCAATTGCCAGGGATTGACTGGGTTTCTTAGTGGAATTGGTTGCCTGTCCTGCTGCTCCCTGAGGCCAGTCTCTTAGTTACTATATTCCTGACCCATCAGGGTGATGACTGTGCCCTCTGCTGGGCACAGCCCTCGGGGGACGAACCTTCAATTTCATTCTTTTGTGTAACCACCTGCAGTGTGAGACATGTACACACTCATCATCCATATACACCCCACACCCACATGGCTCTAAACACCAAGCATGTAATGCCCTCCCATTAAAAGGGGCCTCTGCCAATGGGCTCCCTGGAACTTTTGGCCACAAGCACTCGGCCGATGCCCTCATCCTGTCTTGTGTCTCTGTGCTCACACTTAGGACTCTTGCCATTCCTCGACTAACCAAGAATGCTCTCTCTTTGTGTCATCTTCCTTCCTTCTCTTCCTCTTTGGGCTTTAGTCTTCCAATTCTATCTTTCTCCCTTTTCTCCCTCCCTGAGTCCTTCCTGTTGGCCTCACTCACTGCTCTCCGGCTGTATCTTCCTCTGAGTGCTGTGTGCATCGGAACTACACCTGGGCCGCCTCCCTGGGTGCTCGCAGTCTCCCTGATCCGGCAGCACAGTCTTATGTGTCGGTCATCATTCTCACTCACCATCTTCTGATACTTTAGAGTCCTTAGTGGCTGCAGCTGAGGGTCACACAGCTCTCCTGCCCCCACAGACCTCCTAGTCACCTGGGATGCTTCCCGACCTCTTTACCTTGGTTGTCCCCACATCCCTTTGGAGCTAGTCCTGGGAGACCACGACTCTCCTCTTAGTATCGACCCAGCATGTCTTCAGTACCTACAGTAATATGTTTCCTGCCTCTTCTACCCCCTCCTCTTAAAGGCCAAAATGTGAGGTGCAGATTGACTGCTGTGTGCCATGGGATTTGGAGGTCTGGAGTCCCCGATTGGACTGGTAGGGGGTCAGAGTCCACAGAGAAAGTGGGGTCAGGGCCCTGGGAGGAAGGCTGTCTTCACCATGTTCCCAGGGAAGCTTCAGAGCAAGGAGCTTGGCTTTGACCCTGTGATTTGCCATTCCTGCAGGTGGGCTCCCAGCGGTTCAGTGTCAACATGCCTCACAAGTTTGGGATCCACAACTACAAGGTCCCCACCTTCTGCGACCACTGTGGCTCCTTGCTCTGGGGCCTCTTGCGGCAGGGTCTGCAGTGCAAAGGTAAGGCACTGGGTCCTGCTCTCCCCCTGCCCTTGCACCTGAGCCCCCGCTGTCCTCCCCTTAAAGAACCTTTCTTCTTGGAGCCTCGAGAGTGCTTCCCAGGGCTGACCAAAGGACTGGGCCCAAGCCCTTGCTAAGCCGTTGTTAGTTACTCTGAGCATTTGCAGGCTGTCTGTGTGCAGAGGCCTTCCAGCGGACTCCGTAGAGGGAATCAGAAGAGAGAAAGTGTGACTCCACCTTCTAAGACAGTGAACAAGCTGGGGCCACAAGATGAGTCTGAAAAAGTGCAGGAAAAAATTAAGGAAAAGATACACTGGAGTATAAGAGAAGAAAAGTTTTTGGAGTTAGACTCTGAAATAAGTCATAGACATTTTTCTGTCACCATCCGTGGTTCAGAGTTTACTTTTGGAAAACACCTGCTAAAATGCTGTCACATAAGACAGATTGCTCCTTCATAGACCTGTGATGGATGTTATATTATCCCCCTGGCCCCCATGAGTAAATAGGCTCGGAGACTAATTTAACCTCTTCATGTAGCTCGTGAGCAGAAGTAGGGTTTGAATCTTGACCTCTGGGTCTGAGTTTCCTCCTTTATTTCCTGCTGTTTTCCCTTTGAATTGACTTCTGTTCAAATGAGTGTGCTAAGTGACACAGGTAATACCACATAATATGGGGAGGTGGGTTCACACTCTGGGGTCTAATAGAAGTTCAGTGTCACAAGCTAGTCAAACTTGCTTACAGAGTTGGACAACCATGAACTATTGGCCAGGAATATCTCACAGACACTATTTAAAAACACTTTTTTATTATTTTATTAAATATTAAAAATTTAAATTTTATTGTTTAAGTAAATTTAAGCTTAAAAATGAAAATGTATTAAACTGTTAAATTAGTTTGTTATAAAAGCAGTATTTTATTATTACTGAATGCATCATTAATAAATTCCCATTATGAAAAATTAGAGAAAGAGCTAAAGTATAAGAAGGAAATTGAAGCTGTGAACCAATTGGTCACTGAAAGGATCCCAGTGAGAAAGTATGAAGATTGGAAATAAGGTATTGGCTGTAGTGGGAATAGAGAAGGAAAATAACCTAGGAGGTGTTGATGAGTGATTTATTGTCTGTAGTGATCAGATCCAACTGGGAGGATGGTGACACCACTCACTGAGACAGGGAACCCAGGAGAGAGGGCAGGGTTGGAGGTAGAGATGGTGGAGTTGAGCTAGGGACGTGTTAACTTGAGGCGCCAGTGGAAAGTACATGAAGCTGTCTGACTGTTGGAAATTCTCATTGAAACTCAGTAAAGATGTCTAGATGGAGCTTTTAGATTTGGATTTGTCAATGTTTGAGTAGTAGTTAACCTATGAAGTAGATGTCATCCCCAGGATAAGTACCTTGAGTGAAGAAAGAAGAAGACAGCTTGGGAATCTGGGGATGAGGTAGGGTATCAGCATCCTAGGATGAGTGTGCAACGGAGCTGCACGCTCTGAGGGGAGGGCCTCAGAGATAGGAGGGAAAGTGGCAGGGAATGGAATCATAGAAGCCAAAAGAGCTGAGAGTACTTTTTAAAAAATTTAAAAAGGGAGTGATGGATAGTGCCAAATGCTTCCAAAAAGTTATTTAAAGTAAAAAGTGCCACATGGGAAAATAGAACTACATATTATCCAGCAACTCCACTTCTGGCTATTTTCCTGAAGAAATAGAAACACTAATTTAAAAAGATACACATACCCGCTGTGTTCATTGCAACATTATTTATGATAGCCAAGATATGGAAGCAACCTAAGTATCCATCAACAGATGAATGGGTAAAGAAGAGGTGTTATGTGCGCGCGCACACACACACACACACACACACACACACACACACAAACGCACAGTGTAATAGTACTCAGCCATAACAATTAATTAAATCTTGACATTTGTGACATGAGTAGACCTAGAGGTATTATGTTTAGTTAAATAAGTCAGACAGGGAAAGACAAATGGTGCATAGAATCTTGTTATTGTTGTTCAGTTGCTAAGTTGCAACCAACTCTTTGTGACCCCATGGACTGCTGCACACCAGGCTTCCCTGTCCTTAACTATCTCCCTGAGCTTGCTCAAATTCATGTCCATTGAGTCATTGAGTCTAACTATCTCATCCTCTGCCGCCCTCTTCTTTTGGCTTCAATCTTTTCCAGCATCAAGGTCTTTTCCAGGGAGTCGGCTCTTCACATCGGGTGGCCAAAGTCTTGGAGCTTCAGCTTCAGCATCAGTCCTTCCAATGAATATTCAGGGTTGATTTCCTTTAGGTTTGACTGGTTTGATCTCCTTGCAGTCTGAGGGACTTTCAAGAATCTTCTCCAGCACCACAATACATAAAACAGAAACAGACTCATAGGTATAAAGAACAAACAGGTGGTTTGCTGGAGGAGAGGTGGATGGGGGATGAGGGAGATTAAGAGGTACAAACTTCCAGTTACAAAATAAAAGTTACAGAGATGAAACGTACAACATGGGGCATAGACTGAACAATACTGTAGTATCTTTGTGTGGTGACAGATGGTAACTAGACTTATTGTGGTGCTCATTTTGTAATGTATAGAAATATTGAATCACTATGTTTGTGCACCTGGAACAAGCATGGTATTGTAGGTCAGTTATGCTTCAATAAAACTGAAAAAAAAAGGTGGAACATGGGGTTGGATTTAACAATAAGGAGATCACTAGTGCACTCAGCAGGAACTATCTTGGTGGGGATGAGCGCCCAAGTGCAGAGGCTGGAGTGAAAACAGAATGTGAAGTATTTTCAGGATATTTTATATAATCAGAAAAAAGACAGTGGAAAAAGAGACCATTAATGAGCCAGGAGAGACAGGGGATTGTTGATAGAACAAGGATAAAGAGATGGATACCCCTCCTCCTAGTCAAAGGAAAGACTCAAAGCCAGGCCCGGCATGTCCTGTGTCAGGGAAGGGAGTCCAGGACGAGATGACTGGCAGAATGGTCATTTAAGTTCTGAATCTTTTGAGGGCACTGCAGCTAAAAATAAGTTCCTTTTTTAATTAAGTTTTTATAGGAAATTCCTTACTGTTCTCCATAGTGGCTGCATCAATTTCCATTCCTTCCTACAGTGTAAGAGGATTCCCTGCTCTCACACCCTCTCCGGCATTTATGTATAAAATAGATCACTAAGGAGAGCTGCTTTATAGCACAGGAACACTACTTGAAACTGTGGTGACCTAAGTGGGGGGAAGTCCAAAAAAGAGGGGATATGTGTATACGGCTTCCCTGGTGGCCCAGACTGTAAAGAATCTGCTTGTAATGAAGGAGACTCAGGTTCGATCTCTGGGTTGGAAAGATCCCCTGGAGAAGGGAATGGCTACCCACTCCAGTATTCTTGCCTGGCAAATGCCATGGACAGAGGAGCCTGGCAGGCTACAGCACATGGGGAAGCAAAAGAGTTGGGTACGACTGAGTGACTAACACACACATGTATGTATGGCTGATTCACTTTGCTGTACCACATTGCAAGCAGAATATTGTAAAGCAACTATGCTCCAACAATTAAAAAAAAAAGGTCAGCAGATAGAAGACAATCCCAGACTGTGGCACTTCTAACATGAGAGCAGAAAAGTCTTTTTAATTACTCTGTTTCTGATGTTGATAATAAAGATTAGGTAGTGGTGATATTAATTAGAGTGTTATCAGTGATGAAAGACAATAAATAGCACTCCATTTCATTACCTAACCCTTGTTAATTTCCCCAACTTTGATCAATACAGACTTTGGCCAGACTTCTGAGTTACGGGGTGGGGCAGCGGGGGAAGCAAGTTCCCTTACTTCTGAAATACGAGATCCTCTTCAGAGTTGAAGTGAGAAGTAAGGGGAGTGTGGAAGGCACGAGGAGGGTAGGAAATAGCTGTCGTAAGAAGTGAGGACGAATAGGACAGGAGGAAGTGCTGGCCGCTGACACATCTTATGTTCTCTGTGAGCTTCCCAGATGTTGTTTCCCTTTCTAGAATTCCAGCACATGACCTGAAAGAACAGGGCCTGTCCAAAATCCTTTTTGCCATTAAGTGACATGGAAACAAAAAGAAGAGAAAGAAAACAATGCAGCAGGAGCCTTGAATGCTTTCAGCAGAGGATTGATGCATTTTTGGAAAGTTGAGTAGTGGTTGCCAGGAAGCAGAGCGCCTGCTTTGGATGGGACTCTGATGAGGCCATGTCTGGTTTTAAGTAACTCTATTAATTATTGATCTATCTAGGGATTCTAAATGAAGGCACCATCATCTCATAAATATTGATAACTTAAGGAGGCAGCCCAGACACCCAGACGTGGCTGCCAGGGCTGTGGGTCCCTGGATGACCCTGGGAGAAGGCAGGGCTGGGGGACAGTGTGTTCAGCTCTGTTTTGGCAGGAAGCGCCCCAAGCCTGCTCAAGTAAAAGATAGGGAGAATGAGGCTGCCTCAAGCGAGGATTCCTGGTCACTGGAGCCAAGCAGGACATGAGAGGAACAGGCTACACAGAGATGAGAAGGTAGAGGCCATTCAGAACTTAGGGCCCCAACAAAGGTTTACAGATACTCCTGTCCTGTCCTCTGTTACCATGATTTGGCCTTTTCCCTCTTGCTCCTTTTCTCCTCCTGCTGCGCTTTTCTCTCTCTCTCAATTTATTTTTTAGATTCACAGTAAAACTGAGCAGAAGGTACAGAGATTTCCTGTATATAGCCTGCCCCCACATAAACCCAGCCTCTCCCACCATCAATGTCCCCCACCAGAGAGATGCATTTGTTAAACAGTTGCTGAGCTTACACGGACACATCAATCATAATCACCCAATGTCCATAATTTACATTAATTTCACTCTTGGTGTTGGACACTCTGCGGGTTTTGACAAATGTATAATGACATGTATCTACCTTACAGTACCATACAGAGTGGTTTCACTGCCCCCCAACCCCCTATGTTTTCTTCTCGCTTTTTATCCTTTTTCAGCCTCAAGTCTTTTTGCCCCTG